ATCTTCTTCATTCGATTTTATTCGTAGAATACAATCAATGAGAACTTGAGAAAAGATGAATTTACCATTTATATCACTTGTTGATGTACCATTGCCACAATTTACATTGAAAAGATTGTGGGAAAATGGTTCATCTAGATTTCTCTGAATTTGACGATCAGTGTTAATTTGAGAAACAAGTTCATCTACTTCATTGATTACACCTTTGACCTATCAGAAAAAAATCATAGAAAAAAATTGTAGTAGCAGAGCATCATTTTACTTTTGTAAAATATTTTGACCATCTTTTGTTTCTTTCCTTATTCATACAGTAAACATAGATTGATATAACTTGTCTAAGTTTATGAATAGAAGGAACTATCTGTTGCCCCAAACCACCACTAACGATCATCACTACCCGATCAGCTGGTGATAGATCTTCCACATATTGTTGACATTTTTTCACATCTAGAAATTTTTTTATGAGATTTATGTTGGAACGTAATTTGTTTTCCGCGTTCTGAATATATTGACTCTCGACATCTTGATCAAGCCAGATCAGAGAAAAAATTTCAAAATTTTGATTATTTGCAGGTACGATCGAACTGCTATTTGGCGGAACAGAATTGACCATCTCAAATAGGAAGACAAAATACGATAGAAAATGTTGATGCTATCCTTTTGATTTATTCATATATAAATGAACGAAGTTCAGTCTATGTAGAAAATCTTGTATTACTCACCTGTTAATTAGACTTGACGTCGTTTGTGCGACAATGTTTGCTTGTTCTGTCGAATGATTTCATGTTTTCTCTCTGTAATAAGGCAGTCCCTTTTTATCATTTCTCAATGTGCTTTATTTTTTCTGGCTCTCTTTCGTTGTGTTTTGTTTTATTTGATATTTTTCTCTTTTCGTGTGCTATGATGAATCACGCATCTATGTAGAATGCGCACAAAAATGGGATACTACGGAGTTTGTGCATGTGACGACATGGTTGGTTACTCTGTACACAGTGAGTCTGTCTCATCACAAAATAAAAGCAAAAGTCAGCTACCAATTTTTGGATATCGTAGTTTGGAATTTCATAAAAGAAATAAAAATCTTGCTGATTTAGGAACTCATTTTATAGTGGATTAGTGCCTACCGACAGAACGATTGAGACAATATAATTTCGGTTTTTATTCTCATATTCAATGAATATGTAGCAATCTTGTGACTATCAAGCGTATAATTTGACATGACAATGTCATTAAAAAATAATTTCAAAGAGTCCAGTGTAGATTCGCGAAGTAAAAAAATAAATATGAATTGACCTCGTAAAAATATAGTCTTTCAGGTTTATTATCTCATATAATTACAGATATAGTTAATTGTATTCTTATGATGACGGTTTAACGCACAACTTATACATAATTACATCAAAACTGATTTAACGATTTGATTTCATTGATGCTTTTTGTTTTATTTCAAAACCTTTCCCTATTGAATTAATTTACCTCAAACTCATTCATTGATTTAAAAATGAAATTGATCGTTACGCTTCTTGATCGACAGCTTCAGGAAATCAAGCAAATAAAGCTGAAGATGCATATCCCATTTCAACTCTTCGTATCAGTTTTAGTGAAAATTTTTATCATATATTTTAAATGAACTTATCGATCGTATAAATAACAGATAATAATTTATTTTAACGTGCAATTTTTTCTTACTCCAGATAAAATGATATCTTCATCGCCAACAAAAGTCTGAAAACAATTATGCATCATTCTGCTGTTAATCATAAGCATCAATAGATCGCACCGAGAGCAATTGCATAAATAAAGCGCTAAAGCAACTATCACGACACTCTTTGCTAATGAAGGAGACTCACGTATGATAATATATATATATATTCATACCTCTTGTACTGCATAATAAAATGTAAAATACTGCAAACATTTTCCGAAAAATAAGTGACCACCCATGGGCATGTTTGTCATAGTAAGCTCTGAATAATTTAAAAACAAAGATTTCCACTTCAGTCGTTATTTTATTTCAATAAGATTTAAGCGCTTGATATACGGTCACAAATCTCGAGAAGGAATGTTCATTGAGACCATACAGTAATCCATTTGGAGTCATATTCAACAAGGAATAAATCGTCACTATCTAGATGGCTGTGATTCATAAGCCATTGAGAAAGATTTTTAGAAACATCATCTGTTAGCGAACCTTTAATGTAAAAGCTACGAAGATTTTTATCTTTCCACATTGAAAGTACAGTTAGAGTAAGAGAATCGATGAAAACTGCTGGCTCTTCCACCCACAGAGAAAGATCTCGAAGATTGTTAAATTTTTGAGCAATGATATCTAATGGAATCGAGTCAATTTCTTGAATATTGGTAATTTTAAGTTGTACAACTCGCTTCTGCAATAATTCACATGTTGATACATCGTCGAGTACCATTTTTAAAGAATCCAAATCAATTTTCAGGCAGTCAAGATTAGGTGCGACTTGAACTAGATGGAGTATTTCATATATTCTATTTACGTTGAGACGTTTTAAGTGAGGCAAATGCAAGATGATCGGTTGAGTTGATTGGGATGTTACTATCGATGGCAGAGAGAGAGAAATAATAACCAGTCAACAATGAAAATAACACGTAGATTGTCCTCTCGATAGAAAATATTTTTTAAGGAAATGAACATTGCAATGGAATATCAAGTTTGACGAAGAAAAAATGTTCAATATCTTCACTATTGTTTCGTGAAATACGAAATTATCGCAGGGAAGCGATGAAAGTACAAAAAGAGTCTTCATAAATACAATTTCGACCCTTGCTAGATATCAATACATATGGTAAAAGGCGTCATCAGTCAGACAACTGTTGCTCGATTATAAAACTGATTTCAAAATTGAAAACATATCGTTAGCAACCTTCAATTCAAATTCTCACCATTCAGTTTACCACAGTTAAGCGCTTTCTTTTCATTTACAGACAAAATATTTTCGAAAACGGATGTTCTGATGATTAATAGCTTTTCTATACCCATACTTCTCATTTAATAGCTGGCAGCTATTAAAATATTAGAAAAATCTGCATGAGTTTAGAAATATTTTGCACCGCCAGTATGTTGTAGTCGGTCTATTGAATCAGGATGATGTTAAAGATCGCCCAGCTAGTGGCTTCGAAATTCCATGATATAGTATAAGAAAAAGTTTTCTTTCGGAATTTATTGCGCTTACAAATGTTTGATTATTCTTCAGAGCAAACAGATTCGACAGCTGACTCTACTATTAGTGACTTAAAGTCGCTTTGAAGATGAGAATAATTGTTTTCGTATAACTTAAAAGCGTTATCTAAAGAAACGGCTATCAATCCAAGCTTTTCATTACTAAGTTAGCCTGTTGAAATACCAAAAATCTGACTTGAACTTTATTCGAAAAGACTGCTCAACAAAGGTCTCTATTACATCATTAAAGTTTAAAATATGTCTGTTTCATAATGATGCGATCTTGGAAAAGAAATTTAGTTAACAGTGCACATTCTGTATTTTTCGTTCGTTTCACTCTGATTTTAGAGTACTTTGATTTATCGTCTTGTTTGTCTAATAACATTAAGTGTGGCCTACGCTTGATATATCTATTCAATTCTATTAACTTTCTTTCAAGGAAGCACTACTTAAAACATTACGTTTAATCAATCCACGAGCAGAGAAAATGGTAAAGCACAAGCATTACAGCAGATACTGAGTTGGTGAAATTTTTCTAGTGGACTAAACAAATTTTTGATGATTCATCCTAAAAATTCTTTGTGCCACTGAGGGGAACAGAATTTTCAACAAAAAAGTTTCATGACATTATTCTACTGCTTTTCAATATACTTTTCCCTCAGTGGATGAGCTCTTCTACATATAGGGGTGTCAATTTACAGCTTATTTAATTTAAATTTAACTTCGTGAAAAGTTAATTTAATTTAAAATTGAATTCTATCAAGTTAAATTTACAATAAATTTAAATTTTTCTGATGCAAAGAATTTAAATTTTAAATTTAATAAATTGTTTGGATGGATACACATCATTGCTACGAGAGAAATACGTGACCTTAACAGTAGTAAATACTAAATGAGAGAAAAACCTAGTATTTTAGGTTAATATTTATTCATAATAGTCAAAATTTCTCTTCAGATTATGCAGGATCCGTCATCTTTCTTCTCCAGAATACTGGGATACTCATAAAAATATATTTAATAGCACAATTCATAGGAGAATGGCTAGCTTTAACTTTAGAAAACAGGAAACATACTCAAATTTGACTTTAAATAGTAGCAATCAAGTCAAACTCTATTTTTATCTTCTAATTTTCAAAATTAAACTAATTTGAATTTCCAACAATTTAATTTAAATTTAAATTTCTTGAATTTGAATTTATTTTAAATTCAAATTTTTGAAAATTTATTTCCCGATTCAATAGTTTTTTTAAAATTTAAATGTGACACCCCTATCAACATACAAATTCATAGGGAAAAAGAAGGAAAATATGAAGAATAATGTTGCAGTCATATGTTTATTCCTTGACTCATCGACATTTGTATACTCATTCCCTGACACATATTCCCTCTATGTATACTCCTCTTTCTTCAATGCTAAAGTTAGTTCCATTGTTATGGTACTCATTCGTTATTAACATCAAGAAGGCCTAGGGATCCCTAACAAATAACATACTGGCTTTTAACTTGTATGAAGGGCCAATGGTGAGTGTTCGCAGTTGATGAAAATGCTGCACGATCAGATATATATCGAGTAAAAATTGTTTACCGAAAATGTTTAAGTGTTTAACATTTCGTGTGTATTTCGAGTTAGTCATGATACTGCTGGCCTCATAAGCTGGTATGAACATCGAAGATAGATCACAAGGAACTGTGTGAATTACCCCATATCGATTCGATTCATGTAGCAAACGAACTATTCGTATATAAGAAGGCCATGCCGAAAGTATAGTATCTGTTTCATTATCAGATTTAGGTAAGTAATACGTAATGAATAAATGGATCTCGACAAGTGATAAAGGAAGACCTTGAGTGAATTTCTCTCCATTAATAAAATGTTTATCTTCTGTAGAAACGTTCAATGTTAATCGCTGTAAAAAGGGCATCTTACTCAATATATGAGTAATTTCATCTAATGACCACTGTGTATCAAATGAGCACAACCGAAAATATTTTAGATGAACAAGAATTGGTATATTTTCTAATGTTTTCATTAATGTGGATGATGATTCTTCGACGTCCACATGTAAACGAGTAATATTTGGTACAAGTATGAATAAAGATCCTAAGGTTTTATCTGTTTTTAAACTCATTCCTAACTCCTTGATATTTGGATAGGAGACAGTTTCCTCGTCGTTAGTTGAAGTCAGCACGAATTCTGTTGAATCATCATCAAACAATATGCATGTCAGTCGATTATTATTCGCAGTGAGAATTTTTTTGAGTGAATCCGTTGAATTGTCAAATTGACAATTTCTAATATCGAGTTTAATCAGTTGGAAAAAATCTGTAATTTTGTCAAGAAATAAATTTAATTGCGCACCAACAAACCCCGTCATTATCAATGTGTGCAATTGTGGAAATATAAGAGATAATTTTAGACGAGAAAATATAGAAGATTCCGCGTTGAACATAATATTTTCCCATCGCGCATTAAAAACGAATGATCTTATTGATCCACCAATTTGAGGAACGATTTGCAGCGCAACAAACTTGAACTCTTTATATGTAGTATACTGGAGATTTACATGGTGACAGAAGTTCGTTATTGTCGAATTAAGGCGAGAGTTAAGATTGAAAAATGAATAGAGAATTTCGCCACCACGAAGATGCTGACATACATGTAATATCATTTCATCGGGTAACATTTCGAAAGTTGAAACGGTTTCCATTACGAGCAGTCGAAAATAGTTACAATTTGTTTTTTTAAAATGAAAATTTCAATTCAAATGATGACATGAGAAATGATTGGGATGGAAAAGGCAAAATTTGTGGAGCATGCGTACTCACATGAAGAAACAAAATCTGTTTATTTGCTTACAGGTATGTCATGTGAATGGTAGGAAGAGAACCATCCTGTTTACAGAGTGTCTGGGTGTCGCAGTGGGTGTTAATACTCCACACCCACACCAACAATGCTGTAAATATTTTACCGAAAAATAAGTTACGACCGGTGCGCACGTTTGTAATTAACAGTAAGCCCTGAATAATTTAAAAAACAAAGCTTTCCACCTCAGTCGTTATTTTATTTCAATAAGATTTAAACGTTTGATAGACGCTAACGAATCTCGAAACGAAATGTTCATTGAAACCATACGACAATCCACTTGGAGTCATATTCAACATAGAATGAATCTTCACCATCTAGATAGCTCTCATCGATCACCCATTGAGAAAGAGTTTTAGAAACATCATCTGTTAGCGAACCTTTGATGTAAAAGCTACGAAGACTTTTATCTTTCCACATTGAAAGTACAGCTAAAATAAGTGAATCG